AGAGAGAGAGAGAGAGAGAGAGAGAGAGAGAGAGAGAGAGAGAGAGCAAATGTAATATTGCTTCTACCAATTTTTCCCTCATCCTTGATCAGTTTAATTTCAGATTACCATTTATTTATATTCTGTCATCTTGTTCTCAGTCTTAGTGAGACATAAACAGCACAAATGTCAATGTAAGTTTTTTTTTTTAATAATAATAAAAAAATGTAACAGGTCCTGGTGGATGTGTATTTATGTTCTGCTAGCTTTTTTGTTAGTGGTCAACCCAGAGATGTAGGAACCTGATGTCTTGATCAAACAACATGCCGTCAAAATGAAAAGCCTTCCTTGTCAATTGAACTCAACAATTATGTTGGTGCTGAGTGTTCCTTAATAAAAGTGCATAACATTTGTAACAGTAATATATCTAAATCTATGTATATTTTGAACTCCTATGTAAATGTGTGTGTGTGTGAACAATAACTACACTTGAACTTTTGAAATACTCAAATTTGACCAAATCCAGAGTATGAGGAGGACAAGCTAGCCACCAGATCACGATGAAACTCTTCATAATTTGTTGAATTTCGTGAAAGCTTGAGAGTTAGAAAGCAAGTTGATGACTGTGGTAGGACACAGTCGATGATTTCCACCTGCAGGTTTGAAGATACAACACCCCAACCAGTCCAGAATATGAGCAATGCCTTCAGGACTTCAGGACTACCTGCAGTAAATACACATTTAAAAAAACATATGTAATCTTAAGTACATCCATATGTCCAACTACAATCTTTAATCTTTTTCAAAAAATTGTTCCCTTTCTCACTGTTTATTCAATGTRGCATGCTGTTTTTATTTTAATTATGTAAAGCACTTTAAAATGCCTTGCTGCTGAAATGTGCTATACAAATAAAATTTGATTTGTCATTTTTCGGAATATACATACACAGCTTCACAAATTATCTCAATACCCTGGTGCATAGATACAGTGGTACATGCAAGAGGAATACAAGCAAATATTTGCACATGGTGTCCTGGATCCTGATATTTGTCTTTAAAACATCCATCTCTTTTTCCTACATGGTTTTCAAAAGCGCATAATTATGTGGCAGTATTTGCTGTTTTCTGTAGTAGTACACTTTAAAAGAGAGCCTTAATCCACAATAAAGGGAACATACCTTCATCAATAAATTGACGAAGGAAGGKCATTATTCTGCAGTGTTCCTCCAGGCTGACYATGTCCTCATCAATGTCCTCCTCTCTTGGCCAGGTGATGTTGTCCAGAATCATCTACAAAACATATTCCATGAATTACCTTCTTAAATTACATTGTTTGACAGTGGTACAGCCGTCTTATGAAATTTTTAAAACCAGTACAATTTTTACAGATATAAATGGTGGCACATGTCTCGTTTGAAAAAAAGAGCAATAAAGTAGTTGTTGATATAGCATTACTTTTGGCGTAATCTCTGCATCGCAGGCCCTTGGGAATAGGACTTCAGCTGCGTCTGGCCTGGAGCTAAAAAATTCCCAGATACCTGTCTCTTTTAGGCCTCGTCGGATTTGTTTAACCTGCTGTTTTGTCCGTTCAAGAACCTGTTAAATGAGACAGAATGACTTGTGTGTTTTAGATTTTATCCAAACATATTAGTATGGTTATGTGGTCCAAATACTTAATTTTCGTTCTACTGATACTGTATATATCCATCTATCATTTGTGTGAAACACATTTTGGAATCCTTTTGATTCCACTGCTGACTAGGTTAGTGGTAGTTACTGAATTTGAACTTTATGAAAGAAAATACATGCTATGGATTCTTTTGGAMTAGGCTAAATGATCAAGACCATAATCATAAATAGCTTACAGCATGAAGAAGTATTTTCTCCCTCAACCACCACCTGTTGCTCAGTGTGACACCTGGTAGGTCCCAGGGTAGTGTCACAGACAGAATCTTGGATTTTTCTTCTTCTGATAGGTCTTTTGTTCCTTCGAGCTGTTGAATAAAATAAAATAAAAAAAAACACAAAGTTAGATATGAAATATAGGTAATCAATTCATGAATTG